TACTAGTGCAGGTTTGAGTAGATGTGTTGGTGCAAAATTTGACCAACAAGTAAATATTTGTAGTTTTGTCATGCGTTGTGATCGGATGTGGCCTAGCACTCAATGACACAGGATTTAGACTGGCTCAAGCAACGTGCCCTACATCCAGATTTAGTCGGTCGGTGACTTTATTCCTGATCCTAGGTGCTTGAAGTTTGCTGTGAGGTTATAAACGAGTGAAAAATGATAAGGGGGGTGTTAGAGGCCCGGTCGGACTCTGAGCTGAATGGAAGAGAGTTACAGGAGCTCTAACACACGCTAAGTATTGGAACGTATGCTCTGTGTAGCTGTCGAGGTCTAGAGCTGTTGAACTATTTGAGTCCTCAGGTCATCGAGTCCTCGAGTCGTCTAGCCTCTTTTTTCTGAGAGAGAGAGTGTGTCTTTTAGGAGAGAGCTCATCCCCTTTTATAGTTGAAGGGGATGGCCTTACAAATCAGAAAGAGAGAGAGAGAGAGCGTGTGTATACATGTGCTACCTAGTCTTGTTGCCTACGCTGTCGGGTACGGGACGGTTATTGGCACCCACAATACTGTTTATGTTTAGACGCATCTGGCAGGCTCTACCGTGTTCGCCTGGTATGGCAAACGTTGGCGCCTACAATACTATTTGTGCTTTGATGCATCTAGAAGATTGTATAGTGCCCGTCTGGCATGGCCTGGTGGCACCGTCCTACAGATGCGTAGGGCATGGCAGGGTACGGTCCTCGGTATTACGGTTGACTTGAGCGCCTTATCTTATCTGCTCCACCTGATCCTCGGACCCTCCTCGAGAGGGCATCCTCGGTCAGTCGTTCCTAGTCGGTCCCGACCGTGTTGGTCAGAAAAGAGCAGCGAGCATAGGTCTGGCGTATCCTCGGTTGGAGAAGGAGGTCGGAACCGGACTGCGGTCCCACCTTAGTCAGGCCTTCCGGTCGGAGACCAGATCGTTGTCCCAGCCTATCATTATGTATCTAGGCCGGCCTAGGTACCCGTTGTCGCTGCGTCGCCTGCTGGGCCGGGTTTTGCAGGGAAGCAGGTCCATTGAGGACCCCGGGTTTATGAACCCGACAAGATGCTATGCTTAGGTCATCGGTAGCGTGAGTAACTTGCCGTTGCTCACAATAGGGGATTATTATTACTCTCATAATAAAATGATGAAAGAAAAAATAGAGACAGGGTAGGGATATGGTATGGGTATTGGTGGGTGTAACAGGTTGTGTCCCGCGGCCAACGAGGCTTAGCTTGGTTACATTTTTTTTCTATTCGTGTCGATTAAGGACCGTCCGTTGATGTGGATGGTAGTCAGGTCACAGACTTATTATCCGGAGCACATATTTGCTTATGGGAGCGGGAAGGCTCGTTACGCTCTTGTCGTGGGTTTTGGTTCTTTCCGGACCGACTGATTAGAGGCGGGGAAAGGTGGAGGTCTAAGCACCATGTTGAGACCGGGTCTCAAGTGTGGGGGCTTGGAGTCCAAGTTTAGACGGGGACCTGGACCCCGTGACAGGAGTAGAATGGGTTGGTCTTGTTTGTGTCTGGGGTACAAACAGGGCGTGTGTTTTAGGGTACCCAGCTGGGATACATTGGTTCACGAAATGCTGTTTCTATGAGACGGTACGACTTGACTATGGTCTAGCACCATAGTAAGAACCGGAAGATGAAAGATGGTAAAATGATTCTAATTGTTTGTGAGTGGCTATGGCACTCGGTGCCGATAATGTGGTAATAACTTGAGGAGATCTTGGCATACATCTTGGGCGTGTGGTGAGGGTTGAGTCGACCGAACAGGATTCTACGACGAGTCCTTGGGACAAGTCTTGCTAGGAGGGTGTGACCTGAGCATCCTCTATGATGAGTGGCACCTGTGGTGGGTACATGTGAGTGGAGTAGACCTCGGGATGCCTTGCAGGGGTGAGCCCCTGGGGAGGAGGTGCCGTCAAGGCACGGGGTGTCGGTTAACCCCACTTGAGAAGATGTCCTATCTAGTCCTCCCTAAGGACTGGTATGTCGAGAGAATCGGATCATAGGACCCTATGTACACACCACTCGTTCCTGAATGGGCGGGAGACGGTTACCCGACCAACTAGGGCAATGCCACTACTGCCTAGGATGTAGGTGATAGTGTAAGGAGGTACGGGTGTATGTCTCACACCCTCCTAAGACAGCGTAGTGACCTTGAGGGCCCGGTACTACGTCTCACAGTCTCAGCGTGCCGATGGACTCCGGGGTGACTCAGGGCTGAGTGGCAGGGTGGCATCGTACCGGTTGGGAGGCAGCCGGTATCAGCCTAGGCGGTGGCCACCGTTGATGATGGTGATCTTGTGGTTCTAGGTGTACATGCTCTACAGAGTTGATCGATCTATACGTATAGCCACGTTCGCGGATATGGACATTCCTATGACCTACGCTTCCATTGATTAGTGAGAGCAGTCATTTCTTCTTCTCCCCTAGGTTTATTGGTTTTCGGCTGTTAGCCGATAAGGCAAGGCACGAGAGGGAGTCGCCCTTGCCGCCTAGAGAGTGAGAGTGTGGTGAGATGTGTGTGATGGGATGGGTGAACGTGTGGATGAGATGGATTAAAACTTGATGAACTATTATAAAATATTGATGAACTTACATAGGAAAACTACAGCCATAAATATGCCTTTTGCTCTATCCTTGCATTCCACTTACTACAAAGCAATGCAAAGCATAGGGTGGGAGCTGTACAAATCGTACTGAAAGATATTTGGTAGGTTTGAATGTCATATACGACGACGACAATGGAGATTAGAAGGATTAGGTCGTTCCTACGCTCAAGTTTGGTTGAGGAGATGAAGTCTACGCCCACTGATACTCTACGCATACTCTGATGATTGCCCATGAAAGAGGAGCCTTCACCCACCAACGCGCTATGTCTACTCTGATGTTGATCTGTGTGCGTTTCCGCTAGTATATGTTGTACTTAGGTGTGTTACCAAGTGTTGTAATATCTTATAAACTTGTAATTCCTCGATGTATGAACTGTGGTATCAACTGAATAATGATAATGTGATAGCTTAGTCTTTTTGGACTATCACATTATGATGTAATCTGTGGATTTCCCTTTAAGAAAATCATGAATCATTTCACTTATATAACAAAGAACCCTGAAATTTCGTTATTTTTTTTAAGATAACGAACCCTACAATGACCTTCATTAGGGTTTCATTCTTTTTCCATCAATGAAAGTGTGATGCCATCTCGCTTTCTAGGTGGCAAAGTGTTGTCTAGCTACCAAATTCAAATCATTGACCTGTAGATTATTCAATCAACCTTTCTAAACAATCAGGATCATGGCCCCGTTCGCTTGGCTGAAATTGGCTGAAAAACACTGTTCCGGCTGAATTGTTGTGAGAGAAAAACATTGTTCAGGCTGAAAAACGAAGTCGAATAAATCAGAATATAAGGTAAGCCGAACGGGCGAGCGCCACAACTCACAACCGTCTACCTCACGAGAGAAAAAAAAAACCGATGTCCCTTTCTTTCTCGGGGAGTCGATATGGAAGAGGCACGCGTTGCATCAGATTTTCTGTCTTTGTAGTTGCGTTACACTCTTCATTCTTCATTTTACATATTACAGTGCTAGTATTTATTAATCTGTAACTATAGCTTGATCCCATATTATGGACGACTGAAAGGGATGGCTTTCATGCCTGGAGCTTAAAAGCCGTACCCGTGTTGTTCTTTTCTACGCCTTTCGGGCTTTGTTGAAACCTGAAACAGCCTTTCATGGATGTACTAAAAAGAAAAGGAACCTTTCATAGATAGAACAACGGAATTGTTGTCTCAGATATTTTTCTCCTACTAGTATCTCAAATCCAACGCAAAACTCACAAAAATGACCATAATATTAATTCGAACTGTTTGTTAGTAGAAAACACTTCTAGCTTTATATTTACAAATTTGTATATGCCACCCGGATTTCTTCTAACTCCCCAAAATGGCAAAAACTTAGAGCATCTCCAAGAATTTGTCAAATTTTACTTGGCAAATCTTGTGATTTGCCAACTCCTAAAATTATATGCTAAGTAAAAAAATAATCTATCTCCAAGAGTTTGGCATTAAAATAAAAAAACCCATTAACAAAACGAAGATGCTCGCTAAGTGAACGAAGAGCCCCGCTAAGAAACGAAGAGCCCCGGATGCCAAGCCATATACACTCGCGTATATTTGCGCGCGCGGAGGGAAGTTTTGCCAAGTTGATATTGATGCCAAGTTGTTTTGTCAAACTGTTGGAGGCTATTTTTTCCTGTTTTGCCAAAATTATATGGATGCCAAGTTGAGATAGCAAACTCTTGGAGATGCTCTTAAGGCTCTGAGTTACCTTAAAAACGGCACTATTCAGTTTGTTTTTCGGTCAGAATAATATTTTTCTCTCACAATAATTCAGTTAAAACAATATTTTTCTGACAGGTTCAGCCAAGTTTCAGCCAGCCCGAATCGGCAAAGTTAATCCAAAAGGCATTCGAAAGATATTAATGGAGCCATGTGTATGTGTCCGGCATCTGGCAGGTGGCACACGACTTCCTCAAGCCCCCGTATATATTCGGCTCGCCGCCCCTCAGCAACCGAGGCCGACGACCAGCCCCCATTCCTCCCCCAACTTCTCAGGCTCCCCTCCTCCCTCGCCGCGGAACACGCGGTCCCGTCCTCGCCCGCCCGTGTCTCTTGCATTCCTTGGTAAGCAAGTCTAGGCGTAATTGTTCGTTCTATTCGTTGGGATCTCTTCTCCATCGCGAGCCCTCGAACCCAACCCCATCTTCGTCTCCAATCTGCCCCCACGCTCTGCCGCGGATTTGTTTGCTGCGTGGTGGGGCGGTGTAGTAATTATCCGTTTGCTTCCCCTACTTCCTTTGTCCTTTGGGGGTTTCGGTTGAATTCGGCTGCGGTAACCTGATGAGATCGTCTGTTTGTTTGGTTGCTGTGTCTGCCCAGGTGCGGTCGTAGCCGAGCGCTCCGGCCATGGCGTTCTTCCGGGGCCTCACCGCGGTCTCGAGACTGCGATCCCGCATGGTGAGTGGTCCATTGAGCGGTGGCGCTTTGTCCTTTTGTGTATGCTGCTTCACCGGTTGTGGGGGCTGTCGTGCTGAGATTTTTTTTCCCCGTGCTGTTCGTGTTGCCAGGCGCAGGAGGCCACCACGCTGGGCGGTGTGAGATGGCTGCAGATGCAGAGCGCGTCCGATCTCGTAAGACAGTTCGTCTAACTGTTGTACCTTGCGGTACAGTTTTGTGTACTCTGGATTGGATGCTGATTGTGTTTCTGCAAATGCAGGATCTTAAGTCCCAGTTGCAGGAATTGATTCCAGAACAGCAGGTTTGCTTCTCGTAGACCATCTATTAATCTTGTAAAGTCGAAAAGTTCCTGGGGGTATCTGATGCCTTATCTTCTGTTCTTTTAGCTGATACTTCGAAAAGTTCCTGGGGGTATCTGATGCCTTATCTTCTGTTCTTTTAGCCGATACTAGCAAATAGTGTCACTCCCTTCTCTTTTAGCTCAATCCCTTTTCTTTAAGCTCATGTATCCCTTTTCTTTAAGCTCATGTATTTCTGTGTCCAATGCATTTTCACCTCAAACATGTGGATACATTTTCATCTCAAACATGTGATGGAACATGAAAGGAATTGCTTGTCTGAAAGTAGCACCAACTGTTACATCAATTCTATTCCCTCTTCTGTCAGAGGAAATTAGTCTGCACGTTTTGCACCTAGCTGTAGTTGGCAGATTTAGAATAATAAAGTTTTAGAGAATCTACTTCACACTTGTTTATCTAACCACTTGTCTTCGTGAAATATGAACACCTGTTCATCTGGCCTTGCTGTTCTCAAATGTTAGTCTGCCTTGTTACAGGATCGCTTAAAGAAGCTTAAGTCAGAGCACGGAAAGGTCCAGCTTGGAAACATAACTGTGGATATGGTATGATATACTGCTTATCAATTGTCTATGGATAGTTCTGTTGCTTTTCTAGAGCATATATTAACTTATCATGTGAAATTCCTGAATAATGTTCCTGCAGGTCCTTGGTGGAATGAGAGGGATGATTGGAATGCTTTGGGAAACATCCCTACTTGACCCAGAGGAGGTATCTTGCATGCATCCTCGTCATGATGCTATGTTAGCATAGTGTACTATTAGCTCATGCCCATTCTATGTCAAAATATGTACACAGTTCCAAATTTAATTAACTATTACACAAGATCTATAGAAGATACATGGAAATTTTTCTAACAATTTACTATAGCACATGAATTTGCTGTAGTTGAAGGTTATAATTGTTTTTAAGGCATTTTCTTTTAGCATGATAGCTGCATTTCTTGTTTCTTTATTGGGGTTGATTTTGAGCTTGTCAAACCTGAATGGCTGGGTGCACATCACTCATCATCTTTATTGTTGGATGTAATAATCTAGTTTCGACATTAACATATTTATAAACTTCAAAGTGAAGCACATTCATTCAGTAATAAATAACCACTTCTTTTCTATCCAGGGTATTCGTTTTAGGGGCCTCTCAATTCCAGAGTGCCAGAAAGTGCTGCCAACAGCAGTTAAGGGTGGTGAACCTTTGCCTGAGGGTCTCCTTTGGCTTCTTTTGACGGGGAAGGTATATGCCTGCCTATATTCATTTAATTTTAATTTACAAATGTGCCAAAAGTGTTCCGTAAAACTAGGGAAATATTTATTGTTGATTAAGAATGGGGACACGTTTCTTGCTTATCTTTGTATTGCCATTCCTTTAATATATTTCAGTTTTCCGCAATTCTCACCCTATTTCTATAAGTTTTGAGCCTGTGTGTTTTTTCTTGTTGCAGGTCCCAACCAAAGAGCAAGTTGATGCTCTATCAAAGGAATTGCTTATGCTACTCAACTGTCCCAGGTATTTTGAACACACTGCTGGCTACTTGTGTTATTGTTTTGACCAGTTAAATCTACAAATCATCTGAACGAATTGATGCTAATGTCCCCCTGTTCTAAAATTCAAAGGTAGTCACAGATTAATAGAGAGGTTTATATGTTTCTGTTAGTATGACTGTGTTAACTTTGTATGCTCCATCTTGCCACTTTGCTCTCTAGCAGCTGATAATTAATATGGTTGCAGCTCATGTCTATAAGGCAATAGATGCTCTCCCAGTAACTGCACATCCTATGACACAGTTTACCACGGGAGTAATGGCTCTTCAGGTGAGTCCTTCCACTTCCGGTATGCTGTCTCTTCTAAGTATAATATCATAATTGTGAAATAAAATCACATTTCCTTGCGATCTATTGCATTTTTTAGAACTGGATGCAATTGGTATTTAAATTATTTCCCATTGTGTCGTGGATGCTGTTTGTAAATTCTAAAGCCTCGAAAGTGACTTAGTTTCCATTTTTAAACTCCATTTCAGGTTGAGAGTGAATTTCAAAAAGCTTACGACAATGGATTGCCAAAATCAAAGTAAACTTGGGATTTGTACTGCCACCCATTTTCTTATGTGTTCAGTGGTTGCTTTCCATGGTGTTCACAATTATTATTTGTATAGGTTTTGGGAGCCTACTTATGAAGACTGCTTAAATTTGATTGCTCGGCTTCCGCCAGTGGCTTCTTATGTTTACCAGAGGTAGCTTTTGTTTTGAAATGCTTCAATTTTTAATGCACTTACTGGAGGTGACATCAGTCAAATTTCGTGAAGTTAAAGTTGTGTACAAATTTTAGAATTAATGAATAATACTCATTTGTTCTTTGAAGAATTTTCAAGGGTGGGAAATCAATAGAAGCTGATAATTCTCTGGATTATGCGGCAAATTTCTCACACATGCTTGGTTTTGATGACCCCAAAATGCTGGAGCTGATGCGGCTCTATGTAACAATTCACACGTAATTTTGCATCCATCCTTGTTTCTATTTTTGTTATGTTTCGGTTATTCGGTACTTGTTGTTTTCGCCTCATACTGTGACCTGTGTTCTTCTAGTGATCATGAAGGCGGGAATGTCAGTGCTCATACTGGTCATCTGGTAATATTTGTTCTCTTGTTGTGATCTTGATTTTTTCATTAGTGTTTCTTAACATGCCAAGACAATGACAGCTGTTAGTGTGATACCTTATCTTGTACCATTATGGCACTTTGCTTTTGGTTTGGTGCAATGTGATTATTAAGCATGTGACAATACTCTAGTATGTACTGTTAAAACGAACTGAATTGTTAATCTGGAAAAACGAACTGAATTGTTAATCTGGAAATACATCTTTAAACAGTGCATGATAGCACTTATTAGGAACTGGAACCTGGAAAAGGATAAGAGGGTTAATTTTAGCTGATACTTTGCTAATTTAATCATGATTCGTCAGGACTCAACTGTATTCCTTGCTCTGTCTTTGTTGTATTCCATAGTAGCGAGTATAAAATTTCAGTTCTAACAGTAGTCGGGGTCTGTTATTACACTCTATCAGTTTCCCCCTGTGTGGGCTATTGTAGATCAGGAGAGCTCCATGTGAGGATCATAATGTGTCACCTTGGAAGAGGGTCCAGGATCAATGTAGTTGTAGAAATATATTTTATTGTGTACTCTTAATTCGTAGTGGAGCAATTCCTCTAGGTTGGAGTAGAGAACTTCATGATACGTGTATGTGGAGAGAATTATTGCTGTTCGACACTGGCCATTTTAATCCTTTTTTTTTTTGCCATTTTAATCCTATAATTGCTTGCAACCTGCTAGCTACTGTTTTTTTTTTGCCATGTCCTAAGGGTTTGACTTTATCTTCTGCTCATGGTACTCATCCACATGCAGGTTGGGAGTGCTCTATCAGATCCTTATCTTTCTTTTGCAGCGGCTCTGAATGGGTTAGCTGGGCCGCTGCATGGCCTTGCAAATCAGGTATGCTCAGTTTGACAAACTAGATCTGATCTGGTACTTAATCTCCGCCTTGTGCTTCCTTTTACTTGTATATTTTGAAAAAAAAAAGTTTCCATCCTGGCCCCACTTGCACCTGTTAGAACAAGTGGCCAACCAGCTTCTATTCCAGGCTCAAAGGGGCAAGTATACATGTGTGTACATATGCAAAGAGCCCCTCCAGGTAGAGGGAAAATACAAAGTACATCTATACATCTAACACCCCCCCTCAAACTCACGGTGGATCTACAACACTGAGTTTGGAGAGCAAGAATCTATGATGGGCCCGTGTCTGTGCCTTGGTGAAGAAATCGGCTAGCTGAACCTCTGAAGGCACGTGGTGGAGGGACACAACCTGATCATGCACCTGCGATCTCATGTAGGAAGCATCAACGCCAATATGTTTGGTGAGCTCATGCTTGACCGGATCCCGAGCAATACTGATTGCACCAGTGCTGTCAGTAGAGAGAGGAGTGGGTGCAGTGACAGACACACCAAAATCCTCAAGAAGCCATCGTAGCCATGTCACCTCTACAGTCACAGTCACCATAGCACGCAGCTCAGCCTCAGCACTCGAGCGGGAAACTACAGTCTGCTTCTTGGTTTTCCAGGCAATCAAGGAGGAGCCAAGGAAAACATAATAAGCTGAGAGAGAGTAGCGATCAGTGGGATCACCCGCCCAGGTCGCGTCAGAGTACGCCTGAAGGTGGAGAGAACTAGAACGAGGGAAGAAAAGGCGGCGAGAGATGGTTCCACGAAGGTATCATAGAACACGAAGTAGGTGAGCATAGTGGAGCTGGGTAGGAGCTGAGACAAACTGACTCAAGATATGAATAGAGTGAGTAATATCAGGATGGGTGATCCCAAGATAGACAAGGCTCCCAACAAGCTGACGATAGCGAGTGGGATCAGCAAGTGGTGCACCGTCAGTGGGTCGGAGGTGAACACTAAGCTCCATATGAGTGTCAACAGTGCGGCGATCAGTGAGAGCAGCACGAGAAAGGAGGTCCTGAGTGTACTTCTCCTGAGAGAGAAAAATACCATCAAATGTGGAGGTGACCTCAAGACCAAGGAAGTAACGAAGAGGACCTAAACCAGACATGAGGAATGTCGCACTGAGACGCTGCTCCACAAAGGCAATGTACTGAGAGTCGTCACCCGTGATGATCATATCATAGACATAGAGAAGAAGAAGTGTGCGACCATGAGAAGTGTGAACAAAAAGAGCAGGATCATGGTCGCTAGGCTTGAAGCTAGCATCGATGACAACAGAGGAAAAACGCTCGAACCAAGCACGAGGAGCTTGCTTAAGACCATAGAGGGAACGACGCAACCGACAAACCATCCCATCCAGAACGAAGTACCCTGGAGGTGGCTGCATATAGACTTCCTCACGGAGCTTACCATTGAGGAAGGGGTTCTTGACATCCAACTGAGAAATCAACCACTGACGAACGGAAGCAACTGCAAGAAAAGTCCGAACAATAGTCATGTGAGCGACAGGAGCGAAAGTATCCTCATAGTCATGACCTTGCTCCTGTTGGAAGCCGCGCGCCACGAGACAAGCCTTGTAGTGCTCAAGAGAGCCATCCGAGCGGGTCTTTACCTTGTACACCCACTTGCAAGTGATAGGAGTGACATGAGGTGGTAAAGGAACAAGATCCCAGGTGCTAGTACGCTCAAGGGCAGCAATCTCCTCAGCCATAGCGTGCTGCCACTCCGGGTGAGCAGCAGCTTCCCGATAGGTCGCGGGCTCAGCCAAAGCGGCAGCAGTGAAGCCAAAGCGATCGGGAGGGCGAAGGGTGCTGCGGTCACGAAGAGCATAGCGAGGAGGAGACTCAGGATGAGGTCCAAGGACGGACGGGGAAGAGTCAAGTGGCGGTGCAGGGCGTGGACGACGAGTGTAGTAGTGAGTGATCTCACGGGAAGGGCGCAACGGTGATGGAGGAGAGACTGGTGGTGGAGAGGTAGGAGGAGGTGGTGAAGGTGGAGAGGTAGGAGGAGGTGACGGAGGTGAAGAGGTAGGAGAAGGTGGCGGAGGTGGAGATGACAGCGGAAGATACCACTCAGGTAAAGTGAGAAACGAGAGGGACTCAGCAGTACCAGGATCACCGGAAGGGGAACGAGGATAGTAAGGTCGGGACTCATCAAAGGTGACATCCCGAGAAATCCTCATTCGCTGAGCAACAGGGTCATAGCAGCAATAGCCCTTGTGTTCCGTACTGTACCCAAGGAAAACACACTCAACAGACTGAGCAGTGAGTTTGGTGCGCTCACGAGGTGGAAGTAGGACATAACAGACACACCCAAAACAACGGAGATGGCTATAGGAAGGAGGGGTGCCGAAAAGAAGCTCATAGGGAGTGCAACCCTTAAGAGAAGTAGATGGTTGATGATTTGGAAAACAGCCATAGAAACCGCCTCAGCCCAGAAATGAGGAGCAAGTGCAGAAGAGATCAAGAGAGCACGAGCAGTCTCAAGAATGTGGCGATGCGTGCGCTTAGCAACACCATTCTGAGCATGAGCACCAGGACATGAAAATTGGGCAAGAGTACCCTGCTCAGCAAGGTAGGAGCGATGAGCAGTGGAGATGTACTCACCAGCAGAATCAGCACGAAAAACTCGAATGGGAGAGTTATACTGGGTACGGATCATGGTAGCAAATTGATGGTAAATAGAAAGAAATTGACCTCGAGAGGACATCAGATAAATCCAAGTAAATCTCGAATAGTCATCAATGAAAAGAACATAATATGATTGCCTTCCTTTTGAAACTAAAGGTGCAGGACCCCATACATCAGAGTGAACATGATCAAAAGGTCTCTGGGATTTAGACTCACTAGAGGGATAGGGGAGTTGCAACTGTTTGCCAAGTTTACAACCCATACAATTTAGAGCAGCGTCACCAAAAACAGGGCCTAACACACCACTACCAACAAGACTGGACAATCGAGAACCAGAGAGGTGGCCAAGACGACGATGCCACTGCGCAAAAGAAGCGGTAGGCGAAGCAGCTGACGTAGATGCTGGAGAACCGGGTGATGGATGGAGTACCATTTTACTAGATCGCCCACTTGATATGTAATGCACCTCATCTCTGAAAGAAGAAACATATTTTTCCTGTAGCTTGTATTTTTATATACTTGCTGTTGTTGTGTGTATGAACTTACCATATATTGCAGGAAGTTCTTCTATGGATCAAATCTGTAATTGAGGAAACTGGGAGTGATGTTACAACAGATCAACTCAAAGACTATGTCTGGAAGACACTAAAGAGTGGAAAGGTATATCAGTTCACTGAGGTCTAGTGTTTGTGATCATGCTCGAACACAGTTTTGTTTCCTGTAGGAAAGCTATATCAATTCACTGAGATTTGAATGATGTGCAGTAGGTCTGATAGAGTTGTGTCTTTGACTGTATATGAAAGTGATATCTCTCTGATGCTTACATTCAATCATAGGTTGTTCCTGGGTTTGGTCATGGAGTTCTGCGTAAGACAGACCCACGGTATTCATGTCAAAGGGAGTTTGCCCTGAAGCATTTGCCCGAGGATCCACTTTTCCAACTGGTCCGTCTAGAACCTTTATCTAATTGCATTAACTTTCTTGAGTTGAACAATTTTAAATGTAATATTCCGTTACAGGTGTCCAAGTTGTATGAAGTTGTACCTCCGATCCTCACTGAGCTGGGCAAGGTAAAGCAGTACCAGATTGATCATGATTTACCACCCTTTTGGTTTGAGTTTACTGGTTATGAACGCCATTCTTTGCCCATGTCTCAGGTCAAGAACCCATGGCCGAATGTTGATGCTCACAGTGGAGTTTTGCTGAACCACTTTGGACTATCAGAAGCACGGTATGTTTATGCTTGTCATTTAGATACTAATTTAGTCCTGTTTTTTCTTTTTACTTAGCAAATCTAGTTCTGAATGAGCACTCATGTCTGGAACACTAACTGTGCAGGTATTACACAGTCTTGTTCGGTGTTTCGAGAAGCATGGGGATAGGATCTCAGGTCTGCCTTCGACCTTCTCTTTACATACTTTCTTCTAGTAGTTCTGCTGGCTATTTTTGTTTGATTATCTATGATGCAGCTCATCTGGGACCGTGCCCTTGGCCTGCCACTTGAGAGGCCGAAGAGTGTTACCATGGAGTGGCTGGAGAGCTACTGCAAGAACAAGGCTGCTTGAAGCTTTTCACAAATGCTGCCTTTTCCCAACCTTACGCTGTTAATAATTAAACATGACTAATAGAAGTAGTAATTTCCCCTTCGGCCTTTGAATAACGCAAGAGCAAGATGCTCTCAGGCGGTAGAATTTTGTATCTTCCGTCACTTGTGGACATCCAGATAGTTTGATCTGCGGCAACACTGGCAAAAGAGATTAGGACATGCTAATTAATTTTTATATGCCGACACAGTTTTTTGAACGATATGTTTGGCAGAGTTAATTGGTAAGTACTTCCTTCATTCCAAATTATAAGGCGTTTGATGTTTTGGTTTGTCTAGATATGTAATTTTTTATATGGACATATACTATATCTAAATACATAGTAAAAGCAATGTATGTAGAAAAATCAAAATGTGTAATAATTTGGAACGATGGTGTGCAAATTTGTTTTATGGCATGTATGCCAGTTGTGTTGTGGTAGTTCTGTTTTAAGTTCACCTGTGAGACATGGCTGAATTGCTGATAGTTCTTGTGCGTGCCTGATCTTTCCTCCCGGTCCTGTGTTTGGTTGGGTTGACTAGCAAGAAAAGGAGAGGACGAGCGGTGCGACTTGGCAAAATCTATATAAGGGAAAATTGTTTACATAGCGGTACCGCCGAACACTCTGGCCTCGAGAGTCCAGACGCAGGAGCTTTAGGGCATGTTCAGTATTATCTATATAAGGGAAATCATTCTCTAGAATAAACTTTGTAGAGGAAGAAGTGTACCAAGACTCAAGAGATGAGTGAATCACAGAAGGTTGTTTTTCCAGCTCCCAGGATACCCTATACAAATTGCCGTTTGGTAAGAGGTCCCTGAAATCACTAGCTTTACCAAACAGGAGTTAAACTCCCTACATGCCTGAACTCTGGAAAGCAACACAATTAGATCAACCAAACAACACGCAACTCATACATCTGATGACTAAACAAACCTGCCGTGAACATATTGAACCAAAACTGAAACATCAAGTAGCATGATCATAGAGAACAAGTCAGATTCGAACGAAGCAGTTCATCTTTATCCTATCCCAAACGGTCATGGTTACATTCGCCTCCAACAGAAACAAAAGGAGTACCTTTCATTTGCTTGCCCAGATATCTATAGCTAATGGTTCTGTAGCATCTACACGATAACCTAAGATTCATCAGCAAGCAAGAAGTACCACATGTCTATTCTGCTCAGCGGCCTCTCAGAAATGATGTTCGTGTCCTGACCATAGGATCAAAGATCAGCCACTGATGTTGCCGAGCCAGAACAGCATAGGGAATTGCACAACCGCCAAGAAGAGCAGGAAGTAGTGGTTCCGGCTGGGGTGTCTCTCATAGCTCCTTGGTCCGCCCAGAAGTACCCTCTTCATGGTCTTCACAAGGAAGACTCCCGTGCAGATGCAGAACCATGGCATGATGAAGTAATACAGATAGTTCCAGAAGATGCGGGCCAGCATTGCAAGGGAAGTGCCAGCGAAACCATATCCAGCATATGCCACAATGTCCAGCAATGGAGCTTCACCGCTGCCCAGGGAGTACAGCAGACCTTTGATGAGGATGACTTGCAGAAACCAGCCAAGTATCCCTTTAGAAAACTGTAGGGTCAGTGCCTCAGGGGTAAACCTGCATCACAAAGGATGCGCCTCAAGGTGAATCACAAATCATGTAAGACGCATTGTTCAATAAATTTATTTGCATTTCTTGTGTGCTGCTAGTACAATGTTCTTGTCTAATTCCAGATGAAACAAAAGAAGTCATTAACAGAGTATTTACCTTCCAAGAACACCCAAGGCATACCCAGCAACTACAATGTAGGTGCCAAATGCCATCAAAGGGATGTACAAGTCCGGTGCATTGATATCCTGGACTGGAGGTTTGTAGGACAGCCTTCCTCCTACTGGTTCAGTTATTCTTGTCCAGTGACCCTTAAGGAAGACAATAAAGGTCAGACATATGTTGCGAGACTTCACAAAATGCAAAATCCTGCAGACATAAATAAAAGGTCACCAGCCCTTTACCCTGTGCAAGAAAGGGAACAAGATGACCTTCAGTTTGTTCCTCACATACTGGCTGTTGACTTGAAAGTAGTACTGAGGGTCAGACAAATATTGTGTTATCTGACAAAAATAGAGTGAGGTTTAGCCTTTCTAGTTCCAAGATAGATACACTAATCTCTAAACATGAAACCTGTGTACAAATTTACATTGCTCTGCATAAACTCAGAACTTGAATCTAAAAACCTCCCCCCATATGCTTCTAGCCCAGTACGGATCAGTCCTGGTCCAGCACCATGCAAGGCAGTTCCAAAAGGATTTGCTTGTGGATTTGTCGGCCTGCCACCTAAGCCTCCCATATCAGTATTCATCGCTGCCGTGGTAACTGAATAAAATAGGAGTCAGACAACAAGTCATTCAAGGATACAGGCACAATAAATTGTTGTTTGGATTTCAAGATTAGAAACCAGTTATTAGAGAACGTTTTCTATTAGGAAATTTAGAAAAATAAGTCTTAAAGTAGCTATTATGTTATTGTTGGTTTATACATTTATGTTTTTGGATTGCAAGTGCTCAACCTGTTTTATGTTAGACGAATGACACACTGTTAGTGACCATGCAAATTATCCTCATCATCAAAGCTGAATTCATGTGAATGATTGAATGAATCCACATAAACGGACACAGCAGATTTTGCCAAAACGTGGACTTTTGAGTTTGCTAGAAAGCAGGTTTTCTTATCTTCATGTTAAACAAAAATGTTTTTTTCTAAATAATAAACTAACACTGACTTTTAAGAAATCTAGTTTTCATAAAACTTGATATCAAAACAAGGCCTAAAGTATGTTCCACATCATTACATCTCATGTAGAATTGTGTAACCTACGTTTACCGTAGCACAACCATAATGTGGTAGAAGTGCTACTGAAATAGCACTAGTTGTGATTCTATGCCAATCATACTTCTGTTGGCCAAAAGGGGTAATTTGGACCCACCTCAAACTACAAGAGTCTTGATTTGCAATTGTGTAATCTGGAACTGTGTACATGCATAACAAATTAAGGATCGTTGCAATGCCATGACGAGCCTTGGCATCCCCTCTAATCCAACAGAGAATCACGCCATGACGAATCCCGGATCACTCACGGGCCACGGGAACGGACTCACCGTTGCGATCTCAACTCCGAATTCAGCCCAAACCCAATTCGGCGAAACAAACTGAAATGCACCACCCGCGTGTTGCGCCCCAATTCCAATGGCGTCAACTGACAACGACCCCGCGTCACTGGCAAAGGAGAGCCGAATCTAATCGCCTCAGAACCGGGGGGGTCGATGGATCAGATCAGTGCGACATGTATATGCTTGAAATTAGGTCAGATCCGAATACAAATATCTCACATTAGGGTCTCTGGGGTGCTCTGTTTCGCACAGCAAATAGCAGGAAGGAGAGAGGAGGGGCGGCGTACCAGGTCGGCGTGCTCGTCGCCCGGCAAAGGACCCGTCGCCGCTCGTCTAGCAGACAGAGGCAGGGGAGGCAGGGGTGAAGTGAACGCGAGAAAGAAAAGGGAGGAGCGTTCGCTTGGAACGCACACGTCCCTGGTCTGTGGTCACTCGTATAACAGCAAAAACTCAATACGTGGGCCGACACGTATTTGCGTATTCAGCAGACACGGCCCAGCCCAGCCCATAGAGCACCCTCCAGAGTCCAGCCCCATCGGGTTCACGTTCAGCAGCTCTCGTCCCTGGACGCTTAAGAGGAGTGGCGCCCGCCCGCCCGCCCGCACGAGCGCCGCCGCCGGCAAAGAGGAGTGGCAACGGCAGACTCATCACGCATAAGCCCCGCCCCTACGCCGCGAGGCGCTGCTGACAAGGACGAGCGCGGACGCCCGACACGCAGCACACACGAGCGCCACCTCCAATCACCCCGCCGGCCGCCACAAGCGCAATCTCCGGTGAGTTTGCCGTTCTCCTCTGGATTGATTCCTTTCTTCGTATTTTGATCCAACTTGTAGTGAATTTGTT